TATATATATAATCAGTAGCCATCACTATATATATATTTTACATTTTATTGTACATTTTATTATTAAATGCACACGTTAACTATTTCTAAGTGAAATGCACATTATTCAATATTGAAAATATGAAAATGTGTTTATCAAAGCATATATAGGCCTACACACACATATTACACACATATACACACATTTTTATATCACACATATATACACACATTTCTATAGTCTCTCATTTAAAATCTGTATCTCTCTTAAATTTCTCTAGCGTGTAACGAAATAGAAGTATATCAGGTCAATGTTGAATACTAACCAGAAATTTTAAAAGCAAAAATTCTTAAGCGTCTTATTGAATTGCAGGTAATGCTCTCCACCCACGATGGCCCATTGATTTTCTGATTCCAGATGTGAGTACAATGAAAACCTATTTCAGAAGTTACATTTACATATTTAAATTGCAGTAAACATTGTTCACTGTAATATAATGTAATATTTATATGTCTAGAAACAACGAGAGCCCAATGAAAACATTAAAAATGTCTGTACATTATGCATAATTATGGATGAATATATTCTTTAAATTTAAGGATTTTTTTTATTGTGAAAGGATTTTATTTTTTATTGCGAAAGTACGTTATTGAGCAAATTCTTGTGCATGTATTATTAAAGTGTATTTACTTACTGTTGAATTAAAGGCTGTCATGTCTCTTCATGTAAATAAAAAGCGTGCTATCAACTGTTCTTTTGTTTCTTATTTCAAAAGCAATTTATTTCATAGGATGAAAACTACAACAACAACAAATCAAAATTGCAACAAATAAAACTAAAAACAAACTGGTGCAATCTTACTCTGTTTGAACTACTTATTTCTCTGTTTGTCCGTGTGCATGCCGAAAAGAAAACATGAAAAGGCTCTAAGCCTTTTTTTTACAGTATATTTTTAGTGAAATTTCACTTTGAGTGAAATTTGAGTGAAATTTGGGTTACTATTGAAAGTCTGCAGCTGTTACTGTTAAGCAGAGAAAGCTAATTCCCTTTTCATTAAGGGATCAAAGATCTATCACACAGAAAATTGAATTGCACCACAATCGCGTTAATTGCACAAATCAAAAAAGTGTGTAGCCTGTAAAACATAACAAAATGAATAATTACAAATTATGGATACCAGCTTTTTCATAACCGTATATTTATATTCCTATCTTTTATAATAATTAGACGTTTTTATATTTGGTTCTTCTCGACGGATGTTTTCCCTGCCAAGATTTTTTTTTTAAACCGGTATTGATTTCTGATTATTTTTAAGAGTTGTTACATGCACTGTGATATAAATTGTGTTAAAATTGCACTGAAAAGAATAAAGAAAAGTCGTCAAAACGTCTTTGAAAAATGAAACACAAGACGTCCAGTTTAACCGCGTAGGCCTCTACGTAAGTCTGAAACACAATATATTGTGACAATATAAATACAATACAAACAATATAAACACAACACAACAATATAAACACAATATAAACACAAATATTGAAACGATATATTGAAACGAGTAAAAACAGTGCAGGGGATTCGATGGGTGTTCCGTGCCTTTTTGGGAACTTAAACCACCATAAAACATATTTCCAATTTAAAGCGACCAACTTTTTAACCGTTTCCCTTCACCAAACCCGCGTCCACCCTCAGAGGTCTATGGAAATTTATGGTTGATGCATGTATCGTTTTAAAGACATTTATAAATCAGAGAGTGGTAATCGCACATCAGCATAATATTACATTTTAATATCACGAAAGACCATACAAATGACTAGTGGGCACCAGTGGCGATTGTATTTACAGCTTTTCATCACATACAGGAGTGCGGAAGTGAGTATAAGCGTACAAAGAGTGTTAATAGACTCTGTCCAAAGTCCACAACTGTACAGCATGAAGTACAAACAACAATGAACAACACCGAATCTTTCAGACCACACACACTGGAAACTGTATGTTTTGTCACTTCCAGCATTCCAATATTTTATAAAATCTGATGCAAAAAAAAACAAAAAAACTCTGATTTGCATTTTTAATGTTATTGGAATAGGGAGAATTATTTGCCGAATGGGACAATTAACCTTGTAAATCTTGTTTTTAACAGATACTGCGAAAATGTTCTATTGAATTATGGTGACTTATACGTAAAAATGAAATCCAGGTTGTATTTACATCCAAGTCCATAATCTTTATGTTGATGCCTCTGAATCCTAGGCCATTTTCCTTGTTGACAGCTAAGAGCTGATACGCAATTTCTTGGCGTGCATATGATATGCAGTTTTGGCGTACATAAAGGCTAATACGCACATACCCCATACCCCTAATCCTAACCATTGCTTATCATATGCACGCCAAAGTCAATTTCTGCGCCAAATAGAAACAGAAAATCGTGGTATTGATACGCACTTTCATAAGATCGGGTAGTCCATTCCGCCCTTGTTTTCCGTTTTGGAGATACTATTATACCCTATCTATCCGGAATAAATACGATAGCCACATAATGATAAACGTCTTGCAACAAACAAACAAATAATTTGTTTAGGAAAGCCGCATTTATAAATCAAATCAACCCCACGGCAAGAAATGCAGATTTTATGGCCATTGTTCATAAGTCTACGCGCTGATTGCTTTGGTTTGGTGGCGACAGTATCTCCGGCGTTTGATAGGTGGACCGTCCAAGTTCCTGTTCCTCAGTGTGACGACGCAAGAGAAAGGAATTCAGCAAATTAACTACGTCACTGAGCCAGGGCCAAGGTTGGTGGGTGTGACAAGAAGACAAGCCTTCCAGCCTTGATCCCTATGCCCACCTTCCCCTCCCCTCCGTAACAAGTCTTTACATTCAGAATTTACAAAGGAACGCATGTGATGTGTTTTAATACAGTTAACTGTGTTTAACTCTCGGCAATAAATCAGTACACTAATTCAGACCGCAAGGACCTCCCCTTCGTTTTCTATTCGAGCATCTAGTCTATTTCTATTCTATTCGAGCATCGATGCATATATACTCCGATCTCTGTTTTAAATCTGTCAGAAATCTATTTCCTGTTACCCGGGAAAAGTCACAACCAAGCAAGCTTAAATGGCCAAGAACATGCCAAAATGTCATAAAATATTTCATGCATGAAAATATTACATTTTACAGACACAATAAAGTGTATTTAATGGGAGTGCTAAAACTGGAAAAGTTACCTGCTGTAGTTTATTTAATGCGAGAGGTCTAAGTGTTACTTCTTAGGCATTCCTTGGTCCTTTCCCACTTGCGATTGGTTCTGTTCTGTTCACCACGTTTCCTGACAAAAGGGGCTCCTTGATTCCGCTTTATTGCAATAGGTTAAAGGTGAAGGCCTTGACATTATTGAAGTTCAAAGACAACTTTTAATTATATATTTTCCTTCATACGCATAAGTGTCAACAGCACACTTGCACGCCTTATGAGCCCACATGTTGTGACAAAATTCGTGTAGCATGATCACATATAATTCTGCACATGGGGACAACATGCAATACCATCACCCCTGTGAGCATACACTGCAAAAAATATCTCCCTTCTGTTCTGTATATCTCTTAGAATGTAAGATGCGCGCAACTCCGCTTTTTCTGAAGAGATGATTCCATGTGAACGGACTACACTCGGCGATATCATTTGATAGGTTTCTTGCACCTATAGGCAATACGTGTTCATTTTTAAATGTTCCAGTTTTTGTCCAAGCAGCCGGACTTTCTTGTTTACTATTTACTGCGGAAGTGATCACCATTCCTCTCGAACAGACGGTGCAATTAAGTCGGAAAAAAGGCAATTTAGGGCCCTGGCTTTATTGCAGTGTCTAGACTACAAGAGTGGCAATTCCATTTAGAAGGTACTAAAAGACGTTACCG